GCTGTGCCGAACTGCAATCCATAATCCGAACACAGATCCTGACGCTTCAAGAACAAGGTCCTTATTGACCACCCTGATTCCAGCAAGCTGTAACAAAACCACAGATGGCTGTTGCCAGTGGTTCTTATCACCCAGCTAGGAGCTAGGGGCTCGGGAGCCCCTATTGTGCTGAAGGCTAAAATTGGACAATGGGAACCGAAATTTGCCAGCCAAGCCTTGGCCTGGAACCTACAGGCATTCAAATAGATTCCAGAGTTCCAAAGAGTTATATAAAAGATAGATTCTAGGGGCACCTGGGTGGCTCGGTTGGTTGAGCGTCCGACCTTGGCTTAGGTCATGATATCACGGTTCGTGGGTTCAAGCCCCACATCGGGCTCTGTGCTGACAGCTCAGAGCCTAGAGCCTGTTTCAGATTCTGTATCTCCCTCTCTCTCTGCCCCTCCCTTGATTGTGCTCTGTCTCTCTGCTTCTCAAAAATAAACAAACATTAAAAAAAAAAAAGATTCCAGTAGGGCACCTGGGTGGCTCAGCTGGTTAAGCGTCTGAGTCTTGATTTCTGCTTGGGTCATGATCTCACATTCGTGAGTTTAAGCCCCACATCGGGCTCTGCGCTGACCGTGCGGAGACTGCTTGGGATTCTCTCTCTCCCTCTTTCTCTGTCCCTCCCCGGCTCTTGCACATTCTCTCTCACAATAAATAAATAAGCTTTAAAAAATAGACTCTAGTATAATTGTCTAGGTGAAGAGATGGCTTTCTGATACTTCCTACTCTATCATCATCCTGATGTCACACCTCAATGATTAACATTTTAAAGAACCTTATCATCTATGTCCCTTTTGTCATTAGGGCCCACTTCAGATATTTTTATCTCCCCACTATCACCCCACACTATATTTTACACTTCTTAGGCACAGGGATGGGGCCAGTTTTTTAGCTACACCATTTTATATTTCTATACCAGCATATGGGTTTTTATTCTTCTACATTCTCATCAATACTTGTTATTCTCTGTCTTCTTTATTTTATCCTAATGAGTGTGGAGTGGTATATCAGGATTTTCCTAATACTAATGATGTTGACCATCAGCATGTATTTATGGCCATTTGTGTATCTTCTTTGGAGAATTGTCTTTTCATATCTTTTGACTATTTGTCAATTGGGTTTGCCTTTTTTGCTATTGAGTTGTACTTTTCCAATATATTCTAGATAGAAATTTCTTATCATATACAGGACTTGCAAAATTTTTTTCCATTGAGTATCTTTTCACTTCTTGATGGTGTCTTTTAAAAGCCTTAAGTTTTCAATTTTGATACTTCTAATCTTTTTTTTCTTTTATTGCTTACGCAGTATCTAAGAAATGATTGCTTAATCCAACATCATGAAGATTTGTTCCTGCATTTTCTTCTAAGGGTCTTCTAGCTTTGTCTGAAATTTTCAGTTAGGCCCACTATCTGTCTTGAGTTAATTGTGTATGGTGTAGGGTAGAGCTCCAACTTCAGGCTTTTACGTGAAGCTACAAATACAGCTGGCCTAGCATGTTCTGTCCTCCATGACTTATCTTGGCACCATTGTCAAAAACTTTTTGACCAGGGGCACCTGCCTGGGTGGCTCAGTGAGTGGAGCATCCAACTCTTGATATTGGCTCAGGTCATGATCTCACGGTTGTGGGATTGAGCTTGGGATCCTCCGCCTCCTTCTCTCTCGGCCCCTTCCCTACTTGCACACACATGCTTGCTTGCTCTCTCTCTCTCTCTCTCTCAAACTTAAAAAAAAAATCATTTGTCCATAAATGTATGGGTTTATTTTTGGAGTCTTCTTTTGATCTCTGTGTCTATTCTTATACTTGCTCGTGCTCTCTTTCTTTTTAATGTTTCTTCCTGAGAGAGGAAGCAAGTAGGGAAGGGGCAGCTAGAGGAAGACAGAGGATCCAAAGCAGGTTCCACACTGACAGCAGAGAACCTGATGCAGGGCCTGAACTCATGAACCACAAGATCATGACCTGAGCGGAAGTTGGTCGCTTAACCCACTGAGCCACCCAGGCGTCCCTTTATGCACTCTCTTGATTATTGCAGGGGTTTTGTTTGTTTGTTTGTTTATTCATTTCGAGAGAGACAGACAGAGAGAGAGATTCCCAAGCAGACCGCACACTTGTCAGTAGGGAGCCCAATGCAGGGCTCAGACTCACAAAACGAGAGTTCATGACCCGAGCTGAAACCAAGAATCAGATGCTTAACCCACTAAGCCACCCAGGTGCCCCAATTATTGTAATTTTGAAATCAGTAAATGTGAGTCCTCCAACTTGATTGTTCCTTTGCAATATTTTTTGGCCATGCTGGGTCTTTTGAATTATAAAACCAGCTTGTCAGTTTCTGCAATCAAGCAAGGTAGTGCTTTTCATTTTTTGCTTTTTTAAGTTTATTTACTTAGAGAGGGAGGAAGAGAGAATCCCAAGCAGGCTTTGCACTGTCTGTGCGGAGCCCAACACAGGGCTCAAACTCACAAACCATGAGATCATGACCTGAGCTGAAATCAAGAGGCGGACACTTAACCGACTGAGCCATTCAGATGCCCTAAAGTAGGATTTTAATAGGAATTATATTGTATCTGCAGATCAACTTGGGGAATATTACTGTCTTAAAAAAGCCAAGTTTTTGGGGGTGCCTGGGTGGCTCAGTTGGTTAAGCATCTGGCTTCGACTCAGGTCATCATCTCACAGTCTGTGAGTTCGAGCCCCACATTGGGCTTTGTGCTAACAGCTCAGAGCCTGGAGCCTGCTTCCGATTCTGTGTCTCCCTCTCTCTCTGCCACTCCCCTGCTTGTGCTCTGTCTCTCTCTCTCAAAAATAAAATTAAAAATAAAAATAATAATACCAAGTTTTCTAATCCACGAACATGAATGCCTTTCTATTTAGATATTGTTTATTTCTTGCAAAAATATTTTGCAATTTTCAATATGTAAGTCTTATACTATTTTTGTTAAATATAATCCTAAGTATTTTGTTCTTTTTGATGCTGTTATGAATATAATTGTAAGAAAATTATAAAAAATGAAGAAAAATTTTATTTGCAGATTGTTGCTAATGTATAGAAATTCAATTTTATTTTTTTATTTACTTTTTGGGGAGTAGAGAGTGTGAGTGAGCGAGGGGCAGAGAGAGGGGGAGAGAGAGAGAGCATCCTGTGAGGAGCAGAGGGGGAGAGAGAGGGAGAGAGAAGGAATCTCGAAGCAGGGCTCCAACTCATCTGATGCGGGGAGGGGGGCAGGGGGTGGCTTGAACTCACAAACCGTGAGATCATGACCTGAGCTGAAGTCAGGTGCTTAACTGACTGAGCCACCAAGGCACCCCTGCCATTTTTATTTCTTTAAGGTCAGTAATGATGTTTCCTCTTTAATTCCTAATGTTAGTGATTTGAGTGTTCTCTCTTTTTTGTCAGTCTAGGTTTATCAATTTGTTGATCTTTTCAGTGAACCAACTTTTGATTTTAATGATTTCCTGTACTGTTTTCATTGTTTCTATTGATCTCCTCTCTAATCTTTATTATTTCCTTTCTTCTTCTTCCTTCATGTTTATTGTATTCTTCTTTGTCTAGTTTTTTAAAGTAGAAGTTAGGGGGACGCCTGGGTGGCTCATTCAGTTAAGCATCCAACTTCAGCTCCAGTCATGATCTCACAGTTTATGAGTTCAAGCCCCACATCGGGCTCTGTGCTGACAGCTCAGAGCCTGGAGCCTCCTTCAGATTCTGTGTCTCCCCCTCTCTTTGCCCCTCCCCTGCTCATGCTCTGTCTCTCTGTCTCTCAATAATAAATGAACATTTTTTTTTTTTACAAATAGTTTATTGTCAAGTTGGTTTCCATGTAACACCCAGTGCTCATCCCCACAAGTGCCCTCCTCCATGCCCCCCTCCCCCCCACACCCATCAGTCCTCAGTTTGTTCTCACCATTCAAGAGTCTTTCATGGTTTGCCTCTCTCCCCCTCCCTCACTATTTCCCCCCTTCTTCTCCCCCACGGTCCTCCGTTAAGTTCCTCCTAATCCTCCTATATGTGCAAACATATGGTATTTGTCCCTCTCTGCCTGACTTATTTCACTCAGCATAACACCCTCAAGGTCCATCCATGTTGCTACATGTGGCCAGATTTCATTCTTTCTCATTTCATGTAGTATTCCATCATATAGATAAACCACATCTTCTTGATCCTTTTGTCCGTTGATGGACACTTAGGCTCTTTCCATGTTTTGGCTATTGTTGAGAGTGCTGCTATGAACATTGGGGTCCATGTGCCCCTATGCATCAGCACTCCTATATCCCTTGGGTAAATTCCTAGCAGTGCTATTTCTGGGTCATAGGGAGTTCTATTGTTAATTTTTTGAGGAATCTCCACACTGTTTTCCAGAGGGGCTGCACCCGTTTACATTCCCACCAACAGTGTAGGAGGGTGCCCGTTTCTCCACATCCTTGCCAGCATCTAGAGTTTTCTGATTTGCTCAATAAATGAACATTTAAAAAAAAAAATTTAAATAAAGTAGAAGTTAGGTTATTGATTTATTTCATCTTTTCTAACACAGCATTGGGGGTCATAAATTTCTCTCTTGGCGCTGGCTTAAGCTGCATCCCATAAGTTTTGGTCTGTTGTGTTTTCATTTTCATTCAACTCAGAGTTGAATGTGATTTCTTCCTTGACCCCATTGGTTATTTAGGAGTTTATTATTCAATTTCCACATATTTTTGAATTTCCCAAATTTTCTTCTATATTTAATTTCTAGTTTAATTCTATTGTGGTTGGATAGCATACTTCATATGTTTTCAGCCCTTTCAAGTTTATTAAGGCTGATTTTATGGCCCGGCACGTGGTCTGTCCTATAGCATGTGCCACGTGCACTCAAGAAGGGTTTGCGTTCTGCTCTTAGGGTGGAATGTTCTGTAGATGTCTTGTTAGGTCTAGTTGGCTTATAGTGTTGTTCAAGTCTATTTTTTTTTTCCTATTTGTTTTTCCGCAAAGGCGAGACCTGGAACCCCTTCAAATTACAGTACCAACTGAGAAATGTCCGAGAGCGAATTGCAAAGAACCTAGTTGAGAAGGGTATTCTAACCACAGAGAAGCAGAATTTCCTCCTGTTTGACATGACCACTCATCCAGTGACCAACACAACAGAGAAACAGCGACTGGTGAAAAAGCTTCAGGACAGCGTCCTGGAGCGGTGGGTGAATGACCCCCAGCGTATGGACAAACGAACACTAGCGCTCCTGGTGCTGGCCCACTCCTCTGACGTGCTGGAGAATGTCTTCTCCTCTCTGACAGATGACAGGTATGATGTGGCAATGAATCGAGCCAAGGACTTAGTTGAACTGGACCCCGAAGTGGAGGGGACAAAGCACAGTGCCACAGAGATGATCTGGGCTGTGCTGGCAGCCTTCAATAAATCCTAAAGCCAGTGGGCCGGTGTCGCCTTCTTCCCCTGCTGGCTAGTGACTGTCAGAGGCACCACGTGGAGTTTTGTGTGTCGAGATGTCTTTCATCGTTGTTTTTTTTCCTTCTCTTGAATCAGACTTGTGATTTGGGGAGAGCAACTTCAGGGCTTCTCCATAAACCTTGGCCATTGTGAGCATACTTTATTTCCCCCTATATTTCCACTGCAGAGGTGAATAAACTAGGTGAATCCACGCACACCCAATCATCACTCTCTCTCATTTCTTGGTTTACTTCCATCAAGGGTGCTTTTGTTTTTTTTTTGTTTTTTTGTTTTTTTTGTTTTTTTTTTTAATTTTTTTTTTTTTAATTTATTTCTAGGACAGAGAGAGAGAGACAGCATGAGCAGGGGAGGGTCAGAGAGAGAGGGAGTCACAGACTGAAACAGGCTCCAGGCTCTGAGCTGGCAGTCAGCACAGAGCCCGACGCAGGGCCCGAACCCACGAACCGCGAGATCATGACCTGAGCGAAAGTCGGACGCTTAACCGACTAAGCCACCCAGGCGCCCCTTTTTTTTTAAAGTAGGCTCCGCATCCAACGTGGGACCTGAGCCCATTACCCTGAGACTAAGAGTTGCTTGCTCTACCAACTGAGCCAGCCAGGCGCCCCTGTTTTCTATCTTAAATACAGGTTTTCACATTCTCTGTCTCTCAGACTCTACTTAAGTAATGTAGTTATTGAAATAACTGTCTCTTTGAAAAACGGGCAGCAGAAACAAAACTAATTTGGGGAGCAGATGGTCTCTGGGATTGGATGTCCCACTCAGGATTTTTCAGCTTTCCTTTTTCTAACCTAATGAGAATATTGCAAATTCGATTACCTGGTTCTCACGGTCCTAGAATCAGAAATATGGCCTCTCCTATCTCTTAGCATTATCCTACTCCCTCATTCATCAGGGCAAGTTCATCAGAGAAAGCTGTGTCTCTCAGCCACGTCCTTCATACAGGCAGCATTACAGTTTATAAAGGAGGGAGGCGACATGAGAATGTCCACCCTTTAGCTCATGACTGTCCTGATTCCTCCAGATTACTCTACATGTCTCTGCTGTGATCAAGTTGAGGGAGTTATCAATTTCAGTTGTCTAAAGGCCCCGTCCTGAGTCCAGACGGTATATCTAAACTCCAGATCTTCTTGTTCCCTGTTTTTCGCTTCCTCATAAATTGGTAGATCCTGTCTGTATTTAAGGGTTCTAGAAGTAGTTTTGTCTGTATTTAATCCACAGATAACCTCCTGGTCATTAGTCTTGTTGCAGCATAACCATCTTCCTAGCCAGATCTCTAAAAACTTTTCAGTTGTTTCAATTCAGTAGTAAGTGCAAAGAAAAGATAAAGAAAAATCCTATTTTGATGGGCAATTTGGTATCTAAAGCATATTGATATAAAGTCTAGCATTGGAGAATATAAAGATGACAGGCACCAAGTTTGTGGGAAGGTCAGGCATTTACTATGCAAATATTTTTTTAAGATTTATTTAACCTTTACACTCAACATGGGAAGCTACATTCAACTTTTAATGAATCATGCTTTTTTAAAAATTTTTTTAAATGTTTTATTTATTTCTGAGAGATGGAGAGAGACAGCGTGAGCAGAGGAGGGTCAGAGAGAGAGGGAGAGACAGAATCTGAAGCAGGCTCCAGGCTCTGAGCTAGCTGTCACCACAGAGAACTGACATGGGGCTTGAACCCACGAACCGTGAGATCATGACCTGAGCCGAAGTCAGACGCCCAACCGACTGAGCCACCCAGGTGTGCCTCATGCTTCTTGACCATCTCAGAGAAACAGGCTGTCAAAGGGCTCACACAGAACCCAGACCTGATACCGGCTCTTCCTGATCTGAAATAGTTAAATGACTGATTGTAACTTTCATCTCCTCCCCCAAACCTGTCTACCCCCATGGAATTCCCCAAATAAATGATCTTTTTTTGTTTTTCACTTTCTGGTATTGCGTACGTGACTAGAGATATAAATTTTAGCATGAAATGGCTCTAAATGTGCCACTGAGTAGACCTTCAGTTTGGGCTTCTGGAAGTACAAAATCCGGCCCATGTGTTGTCTCTCCCTCGGTTAGTTTTCCTTTCCAACAGGTTTTGTTCTGGAAAGTGTCAGCTTGATAGGAGGGTAGAAGTTGAGTTCTTCCTTGCAACTCTCCGGCAGTGTTTATTTTTATGTTGTATCTCAGTGAGGATGTCATCAGTCTGAATCTGTATCGTATTCTCTGCAAAATGCCTTCTCCTTTAATGCATTGGGTCTTCACATTTCTGGATAATAAATAATCAATGATTGGTTTTCTGTTCACAACTTGAATTATTTTAACTAGAAATAAGAACCTTCCACACAAGGCCAGTAACACTCCACTCTTTACACCAGGAGACCAGCCTGTTTCATCCTGTGTAGAAAAGTAGAGATACACGACCAGAATTGTAACATACACAGGCAGGGCGCACATCAAGGCTAACCTGAACACCAGCTAATGTTGTGGTCTGAAGAGTGTCCCCATCTCAATCAAAATAATTTACCCGATTACACCATTTTTCATTAAGAAAAGGATTATGTTCTGTCCTATTAATATCTACTTGCAAGTGACACTGAAACTTACCTAAGAGCTGAAAGTATAAAGTTGGAAACACAGCTAACATACCTGACTGTGACAGAGTTAACAGCATATGAAAGTGGGGCATTTCTCGCAGTCGCCCTACATTTGGGCGCCCCAATCAGGTGGTAACCTGGGGCTCAGGCAGTGACAGCATTCACCTGAGGCAGAACAGAAGCGATAGAAGTTTATTGAATACACACCGCTAGGGAACAGCTGGGCAGAAGAGCAAAGGAGAGACTGTCCAGTAGGAGGCAGAGGGTAGGGGCTGTTTTGTTGTTGTTGTTGTTGTTTAATATCTTTATTTTTATTTATTTTTCTAGGAGAGAGAGAGAGAGAGAGAGACAGCGTGAGCAGGGGAGGGTCAGAGAGAGAGGGAGTCACAGACTCTGAAACAGGCTCCAGGCTCCGAGCTGACAGTCAGCACAGAGCCCGACGCGGGGCTCGAACCCACGAACCGCGAGATCATGACCTAAGCGAAAGTCGGACGCTCAACCGACTAAGCCACCCAGGCGCCCCAGGGGTAGGGGCTGTTTTTAAAGGGGGGAGGTGAGAAGGTACGGGGACCATAGAATTTTCCCTTTTTTTTAGGTCCCTGGGCCTGGTTATAAGTAGCCCATTGGTTAGGGCCTATGGACAGTTTGAGATGGGTCACCTAATGGGCCCATCTGTATTCAGCCAAGTGGTCAGGCTCTGGGCCCTTCGGCCTCGCTCCGGTTTCCATTGTTCAAGCCTGTTACCTCTGCCCGGTGGCCTCTGCAATAGATAATTGTGCTTGTAATTGGTTTCTTGTTCTTCCCTATAATGTCTACAGCACAAGGAACAATAAGAAATATATATACTGCGATTGTTTATACTTCCCGGTTATTTTTATTTCAAACAAAGCATTGTTCCCATAAGTCATCGATGTTTCTCAAAACATGGGGCCAAGGGCACTGCACTGAAGTCACCTGGGGAAGGGGCTGAGGTACCTCACAAAAATGTAAGTTCCTAGTAAGTCATTCTCTGGGGTTAGGGGCTGAGGAAGCTGCGTTTTAAACACAGTCTCCAGAAGCTTGCGTGTTAAAATTTGAGAACACTACTTGATATTTTATTGCTTGTAATTCATTCATCCCCAAAATACTGAGTTCTTACAAATTTGGCTCTTACAAGTGCCAAAACTGGCACTTGCTAGGTGCTGACGATAAAAAGTTGTGTAGGACACAATTTCGGTTCCCGAGAACTCACATTTAAGTGGGCAAATATGGGGCACCTGGGTGGCTCAGTTGGTGAAGCATCCAACTTGGGCTTAGGTCATGATCTCACGGCTCATGAGTTCGAGCCACATCTGGCTCTGTGCTGACGGCTCAGAGCCTGGAGCCTGCTCCTGATTCTGTGCCTCCCTCTCTCTCTCTGCCCCTCCCCCGCTCATTCTCTCTCTTTCTCTCTCTCTCAAAATTAAATAAAACATTAAAAAATATCTAACAAAAAAATTAAAGTGAGGAAATAAGATACTTTTTGATAAGTGCTCTAATAGAAATATAAATTTAACATTTGGAAGCACAAAGAAAGAAGTAACCTTCCTGGGACCATTAGGTCAGACTTAGAAGAGTTTTATTCTTCACAACACTAAATTCTATAAGGTTATTTTAAAGGAAACTCAGGTAATAAGGCTTGCCTAAGAACACTGTGTAGAGCTTAAATTCAAACACATGCTTCTAACCACTACTCTCCTGCCTCCATTTAAATTCAGTCTGGAAGAGGGGCGCCTGGGTGGCTTAGTCGGTTGAGCGTCCGACTTTCGCTTAGGTCATGATCTCGCGGTTCGTGGGTTCGAGCCCCACGTTGGGCTCTGTGCTGACTGCCAGCTCAGAGCCTGGAGCCTGTTTCAGTCTGTGCCTCCCTCTCTCTCTGACCCTCCCCTGCTCACGCTGTCTCTCTCTCTCTCTCTCCTNGGTGGCTTAGTCGGTTGAGCGTCCGACTTTCGCTTAGGTCATGATCTCGCGGTTCGTGGGTTCGAGCCCCACGTTGGGCTCTGTGCTGACTGCCAGCTCAGAGCCTGGAGCCTGTTTCAGAGTCTCCCTCTGCTCTCTGACCCTCTCTCTGACCCTCCCCTGCTCACGCTGTCTCTCTCTCTCTCTCTCTCTCTCCTAGAAATAAAAAAAAAAAACATTAAAAAAAATAAATTCAGTCTGGAAGAATCTTTTCAGGTTGATAAGGAAGAGCTATTCAAGCAAGGGAACAGCATGTACAAAATAATTTGTCGTGCTAGAATTTCTGTGTGACTATGTGTGCTTTTCACGTATCTTTAGATTTCCGAAAGATACCACTCTAAGGGAATATATTCAGTTGTAAACTAAAGAATGTTTTTTGAACTTAGCAAAACATCTATTTTTGCTTATCTTCACTTATTCCTTCTCTGATGCTTTTCTTTATAGAAGACTGAGTTTCTGACATTTTCCTTCTAATTTCTTTAACTTCTTATAAGGCATATCTGCTGCACCTAAATTCCCTCCATTTTTGTCTGAGAAAGTATTTTTCCTTCCCTTTTGAAGGATAATTTCACTGGATATAAAATTTCAGGTTAATGGGATGTTTTTGTTTTTGCTTAACACTTTAAATATTTTACT